GAGCACCACATTTCAAAAGGGAGCACAAGTGGGGAAGCTGCAAGGAGCAGTTGCTGGAACAGCACGTAGGCAGCATGGGGCATCTCTGCCCTGCCTGGGGATCACCCACTACTCCAGTTTCTCCTAGCTCTGTCAGCTCTACAGGCCATGAAAGTGTCCCATATCTCAGGCAGCTGTCCAAAAAGGTGGAAGGATGTGACTGCAGAAAGAGCAGCCTGGAGGGCTGGCTCTGGATGCCCTTTCCTGAGGGAAAGCTCATGGGCAGATCATGAAGCACAGGCAAAGATTACCACAGCACTCTACTAGTGGTCTGGGTCAGTCAAGGGGAAATAAGGTGTGAAAAGTTATTTCCCAGAAGCCATTAAACAGAGAATGAAATCCCATCTAACACCAAATATGTCTGCTCACTCTCTCAAGGAGAGGATCAAATCATCTGTAAAGATATGGTGGGAAAGAAGGAAGAGGAAAACTCATAGCAAGACAGAACAAGTCAGATGGCTGGAGAAGAGGGCAGGGAATGCTGTGGGAGGAATTTAGGCTGTTTGGGAAAAACTGGATTAGCTTTCATTCAAAAGCTAATTCAATTCTGGTCTCTTATATCCAAACATCCCCCTCTCCCTCCCCAAGCCTAGAGCATCACTCCTTCTTCAGAGGCAGAAGTCCTGCGGCCCGGGCTGTGACAGTCCCAGCGGGCAGGCCGGCAGCTGGGCGTGTTCCAGTGGAGCAGCCACGCCCGGCCCCAGGCAGCAGCCCTGCACAAGGCCCGCAGAGCAGGGGGGATACAGGCTCTGGCTCACACTGCCTGGCACTCGGCTCCCGCCACTCCGGGGCACGGCGGCAGATGCTGGGAGCATATGCCATGAATTAATTCCACTTTCCCTGAGATGCTTTGGAGAGAGGAACGGCAGTGCCTTTCCAGCTTATTAACATAGGAGCTCCCCCCCAACCTCCACTCACTTTATCACACTTAACAAAACAGCCAGCCACAGTGCCTCTAAAAGGTTCATTAATGGAAAGTTGCTGGGTCCGGCATTTTTTCAGCTTTTATTTCCTCCATTTTTTCCAGTGTTTCCTAGGCTGTCTCAGCCCCAATACTCCCCCGTCACTGACAAACTGCACTCTAGTAAGGCACCTCCACCAAGAAAGCCTATATATATAATATGTATTATTGCAAGCAAAACCAGAGATTTCTAAAACTGATAGAACCTAGATTTAATTTTTCCTTTATGCGCTTCTTCATCTGTGATGAGGCTCACCATTTGCCCAGTATTGCTCTGTTGAGCTGAGTCTGCCAGAAGCTATCTACAGGTAGATATTTACACCCATCCAGAATCCTAGCAAGTCCTGGACAGACACCTCATGCCAGATTTTTTTGCTCAACATGCTGTTGACATGCTGTTGACACACACACAGGTTTGCAGCTCTTCGTCAGCAATGTAAGTACAGAGCAGAACAAAGACTAAGCAAGACTGCTCTACAGTGGATTGCCATGTTTGAATTGAAGATGAAAAACGCTTGCCAGGTACATGAAAGCCATGTTTGAATTGGGAACTTGAGGTTCTTAATTTCTAAGCCTGATTCTGCCAAAGATTCGATGTGTGGCCCTAAGTACACCACTGTACCTTGCATTACCCCTCTGCAATACAGGGTCTGTGGAGAACAGCAAGGGAATACTCTGTGCCTTGGCCAGGCACAGCCCAGAGGGCTGATCTGAGTTCCTAGGAACTGGGGACACTGTTTTGAAAACTGCTCCCTCTTCTTACCTCACCCGAGGCTCAACCAGAGCGACTGCTTTGCAGTCTAGAGGGAAAAGTTACACCTGCCATTTCCTCTCCTGCATGCTCTTTCCACAGGACTTGTCAGAAATGTGGGTTCCTGAGACAGCTTTGTCACAGCCAACGCACACTGGTGCATGACAAGCTTGGGCATGAAACAGCAGCTCATTGTTCCTCTTTAGTAAGGACAGTAACTTGTGTGTGACAGCACCAGGACCTGAGAAAGAAGAAGCAACAGGTCTTATTCATCTTCCCAACACTGCAACTAAAACACAACTGTGGAAGGAAGGCGGGTGGGAACAGCTTACTGGAGAAGGGCTAGGAGCCCGACGCCCACCTCCCCCTCCTCCAGCTGTGCAAGGAGTGGAACAGACATGGAAACAAGTCTCAGTCTATTAAGTTTATTGAAGGAAATTAAAGAGACAACCTGATCCCAGTGCACATAAATACTGAAGCAAGGAGAAAATACCTGACAGCGTGGCTGTGGAAAGGTGATAGCAAGCATGATCAAGAAACAAAAGATGAAACTCAAAAACTGAGTCTAGAAATAAAGCAGATTTTGAACAATAAGGGCAATAATCTATTAAAGAGTAACCAGGAAGGAGTTTTAAATATGCTGTCTGCCTTTCTAAAAGACAGGCAAACCTCAGCCTCCTCTCACAGGACTCTGCCATGGCCTATATTACAGCAGGTGAGACTAAATAATCAAAGATACCTCTTCCTGACATAAAATAGATGATGTTGGCACTTTTTTTTCAAGCCCTTCTCTCCAGCTCTATACTCAGGTGTTTGCTGGGTTACCAAGGTCCCAGACTGGGCACAGGCCTGGCCCTGCCAGGGTCCCCAGCTGCCCAAAGCACCCATTTTTTTCCCTCTCAGACTAGCTTGTTTTCTGATTTACTAACCTATTTTAGTTTGCTGAATTAAATTTTTTTCCTGGATGTACAAAGCATTCTAAATTCTCTTTGGCCAGGAATCATAAGTGTCACAGAAAAGTAGATGCTAGCTCAGCTGTGAAGTTTCTGCTCCTACCAAAACAGGTTTTTCTGCTCAGAGAAAGACTTTCAGTTTATCTTCCATACAATGGCCTCCCAAGCTTATGCCTCACTTAGTTTTCTAGTTATAGGAGAGATGTCTTGGTTGTAAAAAACTTACAGTTTCCATAACACAGATAAGCCTCCCATTATTTTTGTGGCCCCAGAGTGGGGCCCAACTCCTTCTTTTTTGTTGGTAAAGTTGTTTGGCATGTCAGCTGTCACCTGAAATTCTGCAGAGTGAATTCACAGTGAGCTATTTGATCTGTCCTGCTGTCACAAAAGTAGGAATGCAGTGCTCTGTTAGACCAACCAAACAAGCAAAGAAAAGCAGCACAGCAAGCTTCCTCCCAGCACCTGCACTCCCCAGAACTATACAGCAAGATTCTCCAACAGGGCAAGGCTTTGAAGGACATTGGTTTAGAAGTAATGTTACTGTTTCCTGCAAATAATGACCACAGTTCTACAGGGACAAGGTATTAACAGCAAAATGAGTTTTTCTTTATATAGATGACAATAAGAGTGAGTTACTTGGTTCCAAGGAGACACCCACCAGGGAGTTACCTTATTTGAGAGCATCAGGCTCCATTCTTTCACGCACACGGAATAAACATTTTCCTTGCAAAGTACCTATGCCTGAAGCAATCTCCATTCAGGCTGTGGTTTCATGTGATTGCAAAAGCTAAGTGAGGTTATGCCTGGTCAGAGTTTAGCTGGGAAACCTCAAGGTATAAAGAGGGGCTGTAAGAAGTGGCAGTTTAATAGGTAGTGCTGCATCCTCAGTCAATACAGAGGTAATGTTCCAAGAGAGAGGTTAAACTAACAAGGAAAGGATGGAGGCTGCTGGATGAAATATAAATCAGATATCCTGACAACTTGAGGTGTCTGTTGTGAGGAAGATGGTAACCTGGATGTCCTATGAAAACAAGTCATATCAGCCCAAGCTTCTCTGATAGCCATCAGTGCAAACCACACTCCACTGTATGATGGTCCACTCCAGAGAGGCTGTGTTTCTATAGAGAAAAGACCGACCATTGCAGTTATCTGCAGAGGTGCTATTGAGGTGGAATGATTCTTTGTAAGTAAATATTTTATTGTGTTTAGAATTCTTAATTTCTTTTGAGAAGAAAAATTCTTATTAAAAAATAACCAAAACTTCTCCCAAGAGAATTTTTCTATGAAGCAAGGTCCTATTTATTTTCACATCTGAAATAAATTCTCAAATACAAACAAGTGAATAGAAAATCTAAGTGCTTAACTATTTACAGGAGATGGATGTATGAGACTTCTGGTGTGTCAGAGCTCTATGGGAGACTCAGGTGGTCCTCCCTCTCCGACTGCCCCAGGTCCCACTCAGTCACTAGTTCTGATGACACCTCTGTGAAGAGATGGTCCCAATCCCAGCTGACATCATCCTACCAAGAGGAAAAAAGACAAACATGCTGAAATGTTACTGTGTCACCCAAAGTTCTCTGAACAATGCCAGAACAGCAAAGAGAGAAACCAAAAGGCAACTGCCCAGACCAGGGAAGTCTCAGATTCAGCTGGCTAGAGCAGAAATACTAGCCAGAAAGAAATGTGAATATCTGCTACAATTTTAAAATGTGGACAAAATTATTCATGTTCTAAAATTCCAAAAAGGACATATTTGTTGATACTTTTTAGTATTAGATACTCCCACGCAGGGCATAGAAAGAAGCCCTTCCACTCTTCACTTCTGCTGAAGCATGTGCAGTTCAAAGCTGCAGAAATCTTTTGTTGCTCCTGAGCTCCTGCCCACCCAGTTTTATCGAGGTTGTTCTGTCCTGCTTTAAAAACCCCCTGCCCAAACCCAAAATGCTTTCTGCCTTTGTCCCTCTGTACTTTTCTGTAGAACCACCTGTAGCTCATGGTGGCCACCAAAGGACAAAGCACTGTTTCTGCAGGGATCTCTGACAGTACTAGGCCTTGCACATTTTCCTGACCAGCTCCTTCTTACTTCATACTGGCCAATCATAATGATGCCATGAACTCACACCAAGAAAGCACTATCTATCTTAAAAATCACCTGCTGGGGAAGTCAAACCTCCACCAGCTTGGACAAGCTCCTCCTCACATCTCTTCTCACCCCCACAAGGCTTCCTTTCCTAGTACAGTCTGAGACAAACAAGAAACTTTTACCTTGTTGGTGTTCCACAAAACAAAGACTTACCTCTCGTAGCTCATGCTCTGGAGCCAAAACTTTGGTGAGGAGCTTCAGGTCTACTTCCCCATCCTATGAAGATACAGAGTCACAGTCTTACAGACACTGGGAAAATGAACACCATCATTTCACCAGATACATTTGTTATACATTGCCACATTTGCCTCATAAGGGTCACTTTGTCCAGGACAACAGCAAGAACCTCATCTGAGAAACAGGTACCATATGCACATTATTTACAGACACAAGTACAAAAGCCATGTTGCAGAGACTTACAGGGAGACTGCAAGTTCTCTGGATGATAAGGCTGTGTATTTTGTGCAGCTGAGGATCACTGTGGAGAATGACATGAGCCCAGGAGAGGGATTCACATTGGCCAGCCCATAGCAAAATCCACTTACCAGAGTCTGGAAAGCAGCATATTTCATTAGATCTTTGTCCAGGTCATGGTAGGTCAGCACTCGGTTCACCTGCACACTGCAGCCAGAAAGGGTCAGAGAACAAGCCTGTGTCAGTGTGGAAGCACATGTGAGGAGAAGGGTGGCACGAACAGTCATCTGGTGACATCTCGAGTGTCACATCCCCCATGCAGACTCTTGGGATGGATGTACCCAGACAGAAGCACAGCTCAGTCAGCACATGAACAGTCATTGACAAATCTAAGTACCAGGGTGTGCACATGCATAAAAATAGGATGTGGAACAACCATGAACTCCTCAGAGACACCAGCATGCCAAAACAAGATCCACAGACTAATTGCAAGGGCTAGAAAGAAAAGAAGACCATAGTGAGCATTCAAACAGTCCCAGTGCCTTAGCAAAGGAGCCTCTGAGAGCAACACCATACAAGCTAGAGATTAGTAGGGTTTTTTGGCTTTTTATGTCTGAGCTGCATCAGAGCTATTAAATATGACTTCCTAAAATGTAGCTTTCCAAGAAAAACATGGTGTAGGGGGGGTGATACACTGTGGTACCACACCTGCCTTCACAAGTGATCCAACACTATAGAAAAGACTTCTATTAATTTAATTAACTTTCTTGTGTTTGTCCATGAAAATCCCTTGTGTTTTCTACTGCAAGAAAACTATGAATATAGGAGGATCTGATCACTTTATTAAAAAAAGAGGGAGCAAAAGAAATTTATTCCAGTGAGAGACACAGTAATTTTAAATTTACTACATAAACTGTCAATTATTTTTGTTAACAGCTATATAATTACAATAACTACTCCTCACTTGTGAGGGAGGCATCTGTGGCCAGGAGTAAGATATCCTACCCCTCCAAATAAGGATCAACAGAAATCCTAGGCTGTGACCTTGGCAATAGGCCCATTAGAGGAAAGAAGACTTTCCTGGTATGTTTAAGACAAAACTCCAAAAACTTTCACTTCTTAAAACTTTCTGGTCTCCCTTGAGCTGACTCCAAGGCTACTGCAACAGCCCCTTCAAACAACACTTTGAAGATTGTACTTTGCAAATTAACTACACACTTGAGTAAGAAGAATATTCTGTGGAGGACAAAGCAGCCTACAACCATCAAAATTAAAGTGTGTGTGATAATGCATGTGCATTGGAGACATTTGGAGTTATGCAGACGACCTTAAATCAAGAAATTCCCTACTTTTGAGAGTTTGATTTTGCAACATCAAATACATTATTCTAATTTAGGTTTTTTATATATAGAGAGAATATGCAGTAATTGCTTTCTCTGTGTAATAGGAAACAAGAATTTTGCACTGTTCAGCTTGCAGCACTACTGTCACAAAAGACCACACCAAATCCTGCTGAACAGCACTGCTGCTGTCATCCAAAGAGCATGAGTAAGATGGGTTTAATTTCACTAGCCAGTTTGCACTGCTGATGAGAGCCTCAAGAGCACCTGGCAGTGCTCTTACCTGGGGGGAGCTGCCACTTGCATGGCCAGATCTTCCTCCTGGACATCCTCCAAGTCAGGGATCACAGGAATGTCTGCAACAAGAGAAAGCAGCAGCAGTAAGTGGGGAGTGTTGTGCTCTCCTCTCACTGAAGACAAAGGTTCTCTTGCTTCACAGATATGAAGCACCCTGTTTCTTATTAGGGGGAAACACAAAACATTTATTTAGCAATAATTAAAAATATATTGTTTAATATTTAAACAAGGCAATAAAACTTTGAAGTCTGAGGTCACAAGAAATCTTGCAAGAGGAACAGATTAATCCAGGTAGGGCTCTATAGGCCATGGACTATGCATCTGAACACAACCTTGAAGCCAAAAGAAGCCACCTGTACCACTTGCTGCCTATGTTGCCATCATCAACCGACAAGAATTTGTTTGTTATGCGTTATCACTTATTCAGACACCGGTCACCTAGACTGTTAAAAATGAAACATGGGGCAGAAACTGAGAGAATCCACATAAAACTGCATGTTGAAGGATCTGCTGTTGGGGTCTCAGGCTGTGCAGAGGCCTGTGACCTTCCTCAGGAAGGAAGTGCTGATGGTCTAGCAGATACAAACACTAGGGAACACATGTCTTGTTGTATTGTCACAAACCTTTTTCATGACTTCCAGTATCATCCTGGAATGGCTGAAGTTCACTGAGTATTCCCAGTACAAGGAGAATGGCTACTCCAACTAAAAAGGATGCTAGAAACAAAAGAATTGAGGATAGAGGAAGAACTGAGTGTGCTTCGCATCCTACTAAAGAAGCAAGGCCCTGAAAGCATTGCACAGTCTGTCACTTGATAAAGCATTGCAAAAAGTTAGCGCAAAAAAAGGAGGAAGAGAAGGCAAAGTAACTGGAGGCTCAAAGCAAGAACAGAATACACCAATACAGAGCTCCTTTAAAGGCTCAAGGCTGCAAAGGCTCTCCAGAGACCCCGAGCCCTCAAATCATGGAGAAGCTGGTTTGGCTCAGGGAAAAGGTTTCACTTGCCCAGAAAGCAGGCAGAGCTGGCTCCTTCAGCACTGGTAGCAGCCTGCTCCCAGATCTGCCAGCAGCAATGCTACTGCTGGATGGCAGCAGGCAGCTGAGCCTGGCTTTGCCCCGTTTTTCAGCCCAGGCTGAGATGAATATTCAGGAGCTGGAGACACATTCCCACCTATGGTGCCGAGTGCTCTGGGCAGGGTCTTCCCGAGAAGCCCCCAGTCCGGCCGCCTGTCAGAGCTGCGCAGGGTCTCAGCTGCCCTCCCCTGCTGCACGTCCTCCGTGTGTCCCCGCTCGCTGGCCAGGAGGCAGCGCTGGCCCAGCTGCAGCAGGGCACGGGTCAGCCGGGCCCCGCAGCAGTGGCCTCCGGAGCTGGCCACACAGTGGGATTTCTCGCTAATTGGTTGCCTGGAGGAAGGCTGAGCGGGACAGGGGCTGTCACGAGCATGGCCACGGCAAGAGGAGTGACAGCTTGGCCGGCCTCAGCAGAGCTGTGCCTTCTAGCTTCCAAGGAGCAGGTGCCTGTGAAGAGGTTCTCCAACTGCAGCAAACTTCCCAAAGACATTTAAAGGGAAACTGCAGCAACAGCCCCTAGGCTGTCCGTACGGCAGAGGAGGCAAGTGCATGGAATGTCTCACCTGTGCATCGCTGGCCATTTGGGGCAGATCTCCCCAGATCTGCTTGTGAGGACAATACCGTGTAGTAGCTGGTATCCCACTGGCTCCTTCCTGCAGAGGCTCCCAGCTCTTGGCAAAACTTGTAGCAAAATGCACTTATGGGACAAAAGCATCTCCAGGGACAGACAGACCAACATGTGGAGGCAGCTGGTAAAATCTGCTCAGGGATAATGTGGGAGAAAGTCCCTGTATATAAGCAACAAGAACCAAGGAGGGAACAGACTGTCCAAGAAGGGGAATGAAGCTCTGTGCAGAGGTGCCCTGTTAAGTCCAGGAAAATGAGCATGGGAATGAGAAACTGTTTAACCCCTCCTGAACTAATTTATTCTTTTATGACGAGACTGTGAACGTTTCTCAGCAAGCACAAGTAAATTAAAAGCTACCTGGGAACAGAGCTGTCTTCACCCACAGAGCAGGAGAAGGTCAGATGCTTATCCACTTTTGACAGCAGAAATGTAAAAGGTGTTTGCAGGAAACTGAATTTCTTCACTCAGTGCTCATGTTGGCAGCTATTTCAGGAGTCTTCTCTTGCCAGTTCTCTTTTGTTTTTGTTGATCTCTTTTTACACTAGAAAAAGCTGTAAACTTAGGGCCCTGATCAGTGATGTTCCTTCCATTTTGCAGGTTCACAAAGACTCCTGGGTTCTCTAGTGTTGATTTTATCTCATTACCAGTGAATTCCATAGAGAGATTTCTAAACCCCTTGCAGAGCACGACCTCCACTCTGTATTAGGAAAATTCAGGTGATCACTTAGAAATTCTTTCCAAAAGAAATTCAAGGCTCCAATATTTTATAGACACTTTGAAAATATTTCAGACAGAAGAGCTGGAAAAGCTCTGGGGGCCCCTGCCAGCCCCTCCAACAAAGGCCAGTGCACGCTTGTTCTTACTGCAAAGTGCAGATGCCTTGTCCATTTCTAAGCAGAAGCAATGCCCTTTAGGTCTGTAAGACTGACAGGAAACAGTACAGAAATGTCTCCAATTTTAAGAAAATATCAGGTCCCTGGGCTAACTGCTATCAGGGACAAATAATTCCTGAAATATTTGGGTCTTTATTTCACTTGTTACTCATAACTACCTCTTCCCTCTGCCAATTCCCATGGTGCCACTTCAGCACAATCCCTCTCCCTTCAGTTTGCAAAGTGTCTCAGCTCTCGCTTATCACCAAGGACCCAGACTTACCCCCACTGATTCTCCAGCCTGTTATTTGTTTTTGTTGCTCTTCTTGAGATTCACATCTTTCTTCCTATAAGCTCTGGCAACACAGCTAAGTTGTGGCACAGTGTCAGCTGCAGGGGGAATAGCACAGCACAGGCTGTTGTGCTGCAGGAGTAGGCATATGCTCTACTTTTAATACTCCCACTAGCTGCAGGGAGGCTTTACATATAACATTAGTACATGCAGAAATGTTCACAGGACCATGTCCTCCCAATCCACTGCATCTTTTTCCAACAACAAAGTTGTATAACAAACCCCCACTCTGTGTGCTTTGTGACCCACATTTTTCCTCTCCTGCTCAGTGTGGGGGTTTCAGATCATTTTCCATAAACCTGTGCTTCTGGTGCAGAACCTTGACACATACTTTACTGGCCAGGTTCTCATGCCCATGTAGGCAAACCTCAGAAATGACTGCAAAAAGACACACCTTCACAGCAGCTCAATGTAGTGAACAAATGGCCTGTGCAAAGATGAGTGAGAACCAAATGCTAGATGACAAATGCAAACTCCCCTCCACCTCCCAGATGGTTATAACAAGTGAACAAAGAATGAAATCAAAATGAGCTTACTCATATGGAAGTTGTAGTGTGGCAGGAGATACCAGTACCAAGTTGGCTAACTGGGGGGTTAAGTCACTGCACAAAACTGATTGTCCCAGAACATCTAAGTCCCAGCATATAATTCAGAATAATATTTTATTTGAAAAGCTGAACTTAGCCAGGTCTTACACAAAAAGAGCTTTGTGACTAAGTTATGGTAAGGCACCAATGCCATAAGACAAAAGTGTGTGAATGGGAGGAGGAGAAGATGGAGGGGAAAGAGTAAAGATGGACAGACAGTCAAACAATAAGCAAGGAACAGCAGCTTTTCAAGTCATACAGAAAGGAAGGCTTTATGTGTTCATATTAAAGTACATGTACTAAACATCACCTTTTTTACCTCTTAGCAAATAACTTACTGACAGGCAAAGAAGACAACCACGGAAGCAACACTCAGGAGATGGGAGAATCTGTACCAATCTGATACCCAGCTGCTCCTGAAAGTTGGTAAATTGCACCTCCCCTCCCATGCAGGGCTGATTTTTGGTTTAGTAGCAACACCTGCAGGCTGGGTCTCTTAAAATCCTGTGAACTCCCAGTAAGATCTGGTCCTTGCCCCAGAGAACTAAGTTGTCTGCTAGATACAAGATGGCACATAAATAGGGACAGATAGAATCTCTTCCAGGGACAGACAGAACCTCTTCCAGGTCAGGCAATAAATCACTGGCAAAGCTGCATCTAGAAACCATGTTCCAGTTCAGGCTGCAGTTAGTCAGTGTGCTGCTTGCTCCCTAAGCTGCTTTAAAAGTACCCTGAGCCCCCATCCTGGCACCCATACACAAAGAAGACTCCATCATACACAGTCTGATCCACTTCCCCAGCTGGGTCAGTGTTTCAAAGGCCATTCAGAATGGACACTCTTGTGGTGGGTACTGTGCTGCCCTCCCTGTGCACACACCACCATATCCAGAGAACACAGAGAGGGCAGTGGCCTCTGGAGCTGGCATTCTCCTACCACCAAGAAGGTATGAAAATGAAACTAACTTTATTTTATGTTGCTTGCTCATAAAATGTAAAACTGAAATAATTACAATATCTCTGCTGCTGCAAAACTTTGTTTTACTGAATGCTGTTACCTTCTGCATCACGTTTGGGGAATTTTAAACAGGCAAATGGAAGGTCTGATTGAAGATGAAGTTAAGTGAAAGAAATTGGTCTCATTTAGCACATGACAGGATTCATCTGTGTTCCCAAGTCCACTGAGGTAGCATCATGGGCGTTTCATATTCATGAGCTGCTGCGACACTGTGTCCCCTCATTTACAAAGCACCGTGTTCAGCAAATTCTGTCCCTGTGGACACTCTGTGCATTTCATGGTCTTGTCAGAGAGACATCAAACACTTCAGTAACCAAATACCAGAAAACAGCTTTAATTAGTGCATCTCAATGCAATAAATAATTTTTCTAAGTGGAAAAATGGAGAATTAAAAAAAAAAAAAAACAAACCCAAAGTAAAAAAGTGGAAAGCAACAGGCAAAAAAAATCGTCAAAAAACCACAAAGAACAAGGGACACAGACAGCTTCTGCTGAACACACAAACAAGCTTGAAGCCTCTTGGAAGCTTTCTCAG